ACACACACACACACACACACACACACACACACCCCTACAACTAATACCTAGAGTCGATGAGGGCGGTGCGGTTGGAGCCGTCCTCGCGGAAGCGTAGCCACTCAATGGTGACCCGAGCCCGGGCACCGTGGGGGGACAGCCTTTCATGCCTCCGGAGAGCAGTTCTGGGGACCGGTTCCTGGAACAGCCGCAGCACGGCCTGCACCAGCTCGCTGTTAGGCGGTAGCCGCTGCTCCATGCCGAACACTAGCAAGTGCGTGGAGGTCTCGGACACCAGGAACCTGCCTGCCACCTCTGTGAACGTGGACAGAGTCAGCCGGGCCTCTACAGGAGCTGTGAGACCTCTAGGATGGCAGGGCCACTGTGCTGGGAGCTGGCTGGGACAGAGCCTTCCCCATTCTGTGGCTCTGGTACAAAGCCGCTTACTTAAAATCTCCCGCGGAAACTTGTTCTCTAAACCTCCCCACCCAAGTACAAAGAGCTCTGGGACCCAGAACTCAGGGAGCTTCAAAGAGAATTCAAAGAGTGAGGTCCTCACAGGTGCCTGGCCTTGGCTCTGGCTGTGTCTTGAGGACTGGTCCCAGCCCTTAGGGGAGAGGCCCCTGCATCTCAACATCTGGCTTCCTCTGTCCTCAAGATGCTGGTTTGTTTGTTTTTTAACCCAAAGCAGCTTCAGCCAGACACCCATTTCAGCGTTCATAGTACAAAACACAGTTGGCCTCTGTTCCAGACGGTCCTAAGTGGTGACTCCAGGAATGTCATACTACTGCTTCCAGAAAAATTGAGTCCTTGCTATTCCCTACCCATACCCCTAAGATTCTGCTTTTCCATGCTTTCCTTCCCTTCTCTGGGTCTGGGCCTTGCCCATTACTCCAGCCTGGATCTACCTCCTCCTGCCCCTGAGAGTCCTCAGGCACAGGCCGAGCCTGGGGCCTAGACCCAGCCACCCTCCAAGGCCATGTTTACATTTCACTGTTCCTCAGACTAAGGCAACCCCCACCCCCAAGGCACACACAGAAAGGGTCCCCTGACATCACCAGAGACCAGGGGCAGCAAGAAGAGCTCACCTCTGAAGTTCTGGCTGAACCTCTTGCCTCGGGCGCGGTCAACATGGCTTCGCTGCAGCAGGGCCACGTACTGGGCCCTCACCTGGGCAGGGATGGCCATTCCCTCCACATCCACCCTGTCCAGCACGGGAGCCTGGCTGAGCTGCAGCTGCTGCAGTAGTCTGACCAGGACCTGCTCCTCGGTCACAGCCGCCCCACGGCCAGCCAGGGGGAGCACCCAGAGTACCCAGCACAGCCACAGGGACCGCATGGCGCTGGCCAGGAGGGGCTGTGGATGTGTGCGTCCCTCAAGTGCCCCCGAAAAGCTCTTGGGGCCTAGATGGCCTGCTGCGGACTGGGGCTGGCTTTCTTTATAGCTGGCCCTGGGGTGGGGGGCAGGGAGGAAGGACAAGAAGGTCACACCCCGGGGACCTCCTGGGAGCTCGACACCAGACAAGTCCCGGAGCCCTGAGGAGGGGCTGTCTAGAAAGGGTATGAAGAGCTGTCTGGAAGACACACAGGCCGGAGTTTCTGGCTATGGGGCCCCTGCCCCTCAACAATGCTGTTCACGCCCATTGGAGTTATCTGACAATATCACAGTCCCGGAAAAAGAAAAGTTGCTTTCACGAGCTGCTGAAGTCTCCTGATTTTTAATAAATGTATATATACCATGTCACTTATATAGCCCTGGCTGGGCTGCAACTTTTGGAAACAAGCCTAGATCAGGCTGGGCCCCAAACTTTGTGACAATCCTCCTGCCTTTACCCACACCCCCCTCCCCCCAAGACTGCAGGAGTGCATCACTATGCCCGACCGGTTTAAGTCTCTTGAAGACGTCTCCTGGAGGTCAGGCTAGGCCTAGGTTTGTTCGTGGGGAAGGAAAGAGGGAGCAGAGTCCTGTATTCCTGCTGCATCTGGTCACTTTCACAGATATCTCAGAGTCAAGGGAGCGCTACATCCTTCAGTCCCCTCATGAGTCCCCCGGGGTTCATCAGGGTCCTCTACCCCACTCCCCCCCCCCACTGCAGAAAAAAGAGGTGCTGCTAACTAGAGATTTGGTAGCACAGTCTCAGGAAACGTGATGCCTGCCCCGTGTCTTGCCCTCAGAGTACCACAGAACATGCCCCTTCTTATAGCAATTCCTTCTGGGAGGGGTCCACCCACTAGGCTCATTCCATGAGTACTTTGGCTTTTGTCTTGCTCGTGGTCACAGAATTAGGGATAGAAACCTTCAAAACAGAGGCTAGATCTGCCCAGAGGCATGTCCAGCCCTCAGCCACAGTCCCAGGCACACGGCTGCCTCCTCTTCTTCCAGCTGCCAGTTTAGAAGAGCTCGGTAGGTGCTTGGCCTTCTAGGGACTTAATTACCTTCTTGGTGCTTTGTTTTTCTCATTTAAAGAAGCAGGTGACAGTGACAGAATCTGTTTCATAGGTCTGGCGTGAAGAACAAATGAATGGACACAGAGTCTGGAGCTTATGAAGTACTACAAAAGGGTATGCTTTCATCACCATCCCCGTGAAAGGTGCATTCTCAGCACCGTGGCTTTTTGTAAGAACATCAGTAAGAACAGCACGGAGCCTGGGGATGTGGCTCAACAGAGCGTTTACCTAATGCACGTGAAGCCCTAGGTTCAATACCCAGCATTGCATTTGGGAGATGGAGGCAGGAGGATCAGAAGCTCCAGGCATTCCTCAGCTACATGGCGAGTGTGAGGCCAGCCTGAGATACAGAAGACCCCTTCTCAAAATAAATACATCATATAGATACATGCATGCATGCATACACACAGCAGCAGCAGACATTGCTTGAGTGCTCACATGTACCAGGCCCTGTTCCAGGCTGGGAGCATGGATCCACACAGCCCTTTGGAGGCAGATTTTAGCCTCAAGTGCATCTTTCAGATCTGGTCAGATCACTACAAAGTCACCTGTCCAAGAGCTCAGTTCGTGGAGATCTTAGGACTTGAATGTAGGCATCTGTCTCCCAAGGCCTCTTCTGGTTTAGAAATCTAAGTGTGTGCAAAGGGAAACCCTTCCTGCACCCTTGATTCTCACGGGAGGTGAGCAATGACCATGGAGGAGTTAAGGGCCAAAGGACCTGGTAGGCAGGGATCACCTCTCTGCCTTCCCAGTGGGGGACATTGGCCTCTGGCTATGCCCTGTGTTCTATTACAACTATCTCTGTCTTCCTCAGACATCCCCATTAGAAGGGAAAACTCTCTTGGGTTCAAGGGCAGAACTAACTCTGATAAACAGCCCAAACTGTCACACACACACACACACACACAACACACACACACACACACACACACACACACACACACACCAATTCTAATAGGGCCAAAGGTATAGGTCTGTAGTAAAGCATTTGCCTAGAATTCACAAGTCCTTGGGTTTGAGCTCCACTACTTCGGAAAAAAAAGAAAAAAAAAAACCTGCTAATAACCAAAATGGCCAATAGAGCTTACAGGCCGTGTACACAGGATATATATTTGCTTTGTTTTATTTTGAGACAGTCTCACTGCGCAGCCCAGGCTAGCCTTGAACTCAAAGTCTTCCTACCTCAACTTGCCCGGAGCTGAGATTATAGGCACACACCATCATGGCTGGCATTGTTAATCCTTTTTCCTGACAATAACCTGGGGGTGGGCAGGGATGCTGTCATAATTCCCACTTTACAGACGGCGACGACGACACTGAGGCACAAAACTGTTACACGGCTTGCCCAGCGGTGGACAATGGGTGACATGGGTAGGATTATTTCAAGGGATTGACATGGAGTTTGGGTCACATGACAGGCAGACGGAGATGAGAGGAAATATAAAAATCCTGACAGCTGACCCCAGAGAGGGAGGTCTCAGAGTCACAGAACGACGACCTCAGCCGCTCCCTTCTCACTTCCCTCTTCTCTCCCTCCTCTGTTTCCAAGGAAACCAGGTAATGCCCCAGAAGGAATTCAAATCTCATTTGGGGGCTGGGGATGGCTCAGTGGTTGAGTGCTTGCCTAGCATGTGCAAGGTCCTGGGGTCCATCCCCGGCACCAGCAAAACAAAAACCCCCAAACTAATCCCATCCCGGGGCTCACATCTCCTAATGAGGGTCTCCTGAAATCTAAGACTCCCTCCCTGCATCCGGCCCAAAGGAGCCCTTGGTGGCTGACAAACAAGGCTTCCTTCAAAAGGAGCCCGGGCTGCCTTCCTTTGCAAGTGATTAACAGGAAAGGGACGCAGGGGATGCGAACATTTGGGGCTTTAGTCAGACCAAACGGCACAGAGGTGTCACACTGATAGGCGACCAGGACCCGTGGTCCCTTAGTCCCTTGAAAGCTCTTCTGGGCTGGTGTCCCATAAATATGCAAGAGTCCACCACCCTTGCCACCGGGTGACAGGAAACCCTGTGGCTTATCGGAGCAGGGTTGGTGTCAAAGATGTAACACCCGAAGCCCTGCTGTGGTTCGGTGAGACCTTCTGTCCCAGAGCCAAAGGACAGGCATCTGCTGCTTCCTGACTTGCAGATGCTCCCAAGGGTTCTCTCCTGCCACCTTATACACACCTTAGGTCTGAGGTCCTCTGGGGCAAGTGACAAGGGTGCCTCCTTCTGTCCTTCCGCAACAGAACAACTAAGCCATGGAAACGTCCATTCCCAGAGAAGACAGTAGAAGGGGGACCCCCTTCTCTGCTGCACCCCTGCTTCCCCAGGGGTCCTTGGGTGCTTCTGCACTGGGACAAGTAGGCAGCTGGTCCCTGCGTAGGGCAGGAACTGCCCAGTCCTTGTTTCGCCTCTTTAAGGGCCTGGAATAGGGATTTTCCGCTTTCTGAGGCCCTCCTCTGCTTTATAGAGGGTCTTTTCCTCAGTGTGTCTGCTGTGTGTGTGTGTGTGTGTGTGTGTGTGTGTGTGTGTGTGTGTGTGTGTTTCTTCACCCCCAGTAAACACCTTCTTCAACCTAAAAAGAAAAGGACGCTGAGTATCTGGGAGCCTCTTTAGGGACTTAGGATTCCTGGGAACTGGTACTGTAAGGTCCTGGGTAGGGTGACCCCTAGGAATATACATACATATGTGGTCCACATTGGGAAACTGAGCCCCCTTCCCAATTTAGGGGGCCTTTCCTGAAATGGAGGATGTTCAGATCCAATGAAAGACTGGCCCAGACAAGGCCATGCTCTTTCCCCTGCCGATTTGTAGTACCAGACATCTCAGAGCAGAAACTGACTGTGCAGATCATGCAGACAGTGCGGAGAAAACAGGCTCCGAGAGGCCACATCTTCCCAGAGTCACACAGGATCGATACACGGTCACATGCTCCAACGCACAGGCCTCAGTTCTTCCCACACCTCAAACTATCTCTAGTGCTGGCTTCCTGGGCAGAAGCCATCCATCAGCTGCTGGCCACCTGGGAACTCAGACAACTCAGAGTCGGGTCCCGGGTCCCGACAGGGGCCAGGGCAGTGTGAGAAGCAGACAGAAAAACAGAGGGTCAATCTTCCAGACTCCCGAGGCTTCCCAGGACCCAGGCCAGGGCTCCTGGATGTGGATTCCCAGCAGCCCCTAAGAGTTCTGTTGGGGAAACAGAGTAATTGGGCAATTAGCCAACCGCTCAAAGAAGGATGTGGATGTGGATTCGGAAACTTTTACAACGGGCAGATTGCTCAGGCGGGGGAGGGCAGCTACTTTTGTCATGAAAAGGCCAGACCTCCTCTCTTATTGTGGATCTGAGTGGGGCAGTGTCTGGGGTGGGGTCAGGTCAGGTCCTAAAAGCAGAAAGCCTGTCAATAGCACCTCGGGTCCTGGAGAGCAGGGAACGCTGCTTTATAAAGCCCTATCAATCAAACCTCTCTCCCAGAGACGTCTAAGGTGGGGACGGTCCAGACTGTTTACGAACCTCCATTCTTTGGGATGCTGAAGATGTGCCCCCCGCCCCCACCGCCCCGCCCCCGCAGCCCCGCCCTTAGGAGCGTCTAAGGATTGTGGGTGTTCTGAGTGATGTACAAGTGCTGTGTAAAAACACAAATTCTTCACAGCTCCACGTGCGAGCCTGCTCCTTAGGACTGAGACACAAGCAACAATTTCTCCCGGCCCAGTGTGCTCCAGCCTCTGGGCCCACAGTCCAGGCCAAGCCAAGCTCAGGGGGGGCATCATGGAGCCTCCATGCAAGCGACCCCTGGGCTTCAGGGCCCGCCCTGTGCCTTCCCTCTCCTCTGCTCCAGACACCATTTCCGTAGCCTACGGCAGTGTCACCTGTCACTTTCCACCGGGCAGGTGTGTTGCAGGAAGAGTCACCTGACTCTTGTGGGCTCCTGCGCCCCAGCCTGGCCCTCTGCCTGGATTTCACCAGAGACTGGGTCCAGGG